CTGGGGTTCATGGTTTATCTTGTTGTGGATGGGGTCAGAGGAGTCACAGTGTAGGTCTGACCCCAGCACCACCCTCTTCTGGAGGGTTCCAAAGGACTTGGGGAAATACCTGACCACAGCAGCCTGGCTGGTGGGAGATCCCAGCCAGCAGGATGGAGAGGATTGCCATGGTGGGCAGGCGGCAGAGGGTGAGAGTGAGGATGAGAGTGGTGAGGGTGAGGGGGGACCGCAGGGGGCACAGCCTAGAAAGAGGGGTCAGAGGTCTGGGGTGTGGAGGGGCACGGGTCGGGAGGTCTTCAGGGGCTACGTGGGGACCGTGATGAGCGGAGAGCAGGGGCCCGGCTAAAGGGAGTGGCCGGGCTCAACATCTGCTGGTGACACAGTGAGGACCGAGCAGTCAGTGGCACCAGGTCTTCCGATTTTCCAGAAGAAGCCGGAAATCCCTATGCTTTATATGAAAGTTTCTGCATTTAAAAGCTGGCACCTAATTCAAAACCTTAAGAGCACTGAGCAGACCAAAGCAGCGCAGCTCTGTGCTGCTGGTGTGCTCCCTCGGGGTGGCTGAGGCCAGGGTTCGCATCTCCTGGAGACAGTTTTGCTTTTGGGCACAGGAGGTGTTGCAGGAAAGGGCATTTCCAGTAGCCTTTGAAGGCGTGGAGATTGCCCGGTGCCAAGTGGGGGACGCTGCCCTTGGGGGCCCCTGTTATTAGGACCCTCTCAAACCCTGGATGTTGGGAATTGAGACCAACCCACGTCTGCCCCGGGATGAGTGCCACGGCCGTGCGGCTGTCCCTACTTGGCCCAGGCGCGGCTCCCACCGTCCGACCATCTGCTGGGCGGATGGGCCTGCGCTCGCGGGAGCTGCCAGCTGCCCAGGAGTGGGCAGGCGCCCTCCCCAGCCCGCCATCTGCTGAGTGCCTCTCTGGAAGGGAATTGCACTGTGCAGAACGCAGTGTGCATCAAGTCGGGGGGGGGGGCCCCCAGTGTCTCCCCCCAGCGCTTCGTCTGGGGTTGGGCTCTTTTACCAACTCTGTTTAAGCCTCTTTGGTGTTCCAAGAGTGAGGGGCCAGCAGAGAGAAGGTTAGGGCTTTTCTTTATCCAGCAGAGAGACCAGATTGTTTGTATTCCTGGGGTCTTTCCTGAGAGCTTGGCAGGGCTGCCCCTTCTCATGTTTCAAGTCTCAGCTCAGATGTCCTCAACTCAGAGACAGCGTCCCTGGCCACCCAGCACACGCTGGCAGCCTCCCCAGTCCCCTCCTGTCTGTCCTCTGCTCGTTTCATCGTGGTACCCACCTCTCTCCGTGGTTACCGGTGTCCTGCTTTCCTTCTTGACTGTCCGTCTTCCCCACTGTGTGGAGTGTTTTCCTGGCACACACTGGAAAGGGGAGACAAATGTAAATTTTTGATAGATATTGCCAATTTTCCTTCCAAAACAGGCTATTCCAATTGACACCTCAGCCAACAGCGTACGTGACAGAGTCCATTCCCCCACCTCTTGGCTAACACGGAATATTCTCAGTCTTTTGAATTTTTATTAATAGGATGGGAGTAAAAATGATTTATTTGGCATTTCTTTGGTTTTTCACTAGATGGAGTATGTTTTCTAATGTTAATTGGTCATTTGTGTTTCTTCTATAAATTGTTTACAAGAATTGATATCTTTTATTTTTAATTATGCTGGGGGGATGGAAAAGAGGGTGTGGGGAAGTTCTCAGGAAAGAATTGTCATCTGGACAGACATCCCCCACATGTTCTAGTTACACACCGAATCTGAAAGGAATCAGACTCCCTGGGAAGAATGTGCTCTAATAAGAGGGGTGTGTTCATAAGTTTCCATAATTGTTTATGAAGTTCTAGGCACCTCTGGAAGTCTCTACCACCTTTCCTGCTATCGGAGGCTGCCGGACCCCACAAGCCAGCACTGACCAGTGGAACTTTTAGCAGTAGTGGAAATGTCCTGTATCTTGACTGCCCTGTATGGCCGCCACTGGCCTTATATGAACCTGAAATGTGGCTAGTGAAAATGGGGGACTATATTTTATTTCATTTTAATTGTATTTAAATGTGAATGGCCACATGTTGCTGGGGGCTTTCCTACCCTCAGTGCGGACATAGGTCTTGGTTGGCCCCGATGTAAACTTTGCAGCATCTCACAGTGTGGATACTGGTTTGAGAAGATCTCCCCCTCAAGCGGGTAGGACTCTTCTGTCTGTAAGCCTGCCTGTCTGTACTCACATTTCTTTGGGTCGTTTTTCTCACCTTAGGTACTATTGTGGGTGTTGTTCTTTACACGGGCAGAGAACTACGGAGTGTCATGAATACCTCAAATCCTCGAAGTAAGGTGTGTACAGAGTCACAGGATGTGTTTCCTTGCCAGAACTTTCTGACCTGATGTAGTTTGATGACTGGTGTTGGTGGGGTGAGAAGCTAGATTTAAAAACAGGAACCCCTGACAGTGTGACTTCATTTATACAGACTATCTTTTCACGTCCGTGTATGTGCATAGGTATGTGTGTATATATAGATACACACGCACAGTACATAAATATGTGTTCGTATGTACAGGCAGCCTTTGGAGAGGTGATGGCTCTATTCCAGACCACTATGTAAAGTGCGTATCACAACAAAGCAAGCTACACAAATTTTTTGGTTTCCCAGTACGTTTAAAAGTTGCGTTTACACTATCCTGTAGTCTGTCAAGTGTGCAGTAAAAGCGTTATGTCAAAAAAACCAATGTACGTACCTTAATTTAAAAATACTTTATTGCTAAAAAATACTACCTTATCCTCTGGCAACACAGGGTTGCCACACACCTTCAATTTGTAAAAAACCTCAGTATCTGCGAAGCTCACGGCAGTTAAACAAGGACTGCTTGTAAATGAATACGTGACGTTCTAAAAGCTTTTAAAGTGAACTGATGAGTCCTTACTGTTCGCCACGTCTTGTGCGGCATCCTTCACGTGCACGTCATTTAATCCTGACGCCAGCCTGTGAGCACAGGTGGTTCTGCAGCCTCATCTCATAGAGGAGAAATGGCTGGAGAAGGACCACGCCCTGGCCAAGCTGTGTAGACCTGGCTTCAAGCCCACGCTGAGCTGCTGTGGCAGGGCAAGCGGAGTCAGCGCTGCGGTCTGCCTGATGGCCCTGTTGCTGCTCGGTTCCCACCAGCACCCTCCCTCCCAGCTCCACCCCTCCCGCAGTTTCTTAGAGTCAGAATATTGCAGAGTGGTCTTCTTTGTCAATACTGTGAACAGATGCCAGTCATTTCACCCTGCCATTACAACCCCCGTGACGACCATCGTTATTACAACTGTAGATGTCACCTATTTGATGTTTTAGCTGTATCCGGGGCCATGTTTCTGCGAAGTGATGGGTTTCACGTGCTGGTTCCATTTTTAAAGAATATACGTTAAAATAAATATGTAGTCATTAAAATACTAACGTTCATGAATGTAGCACCTCAAAATCAGGGGCCACCAGTGGTGTGTGCCCTGAATTTCCAGGCCACAGGGAATTAGTGCGTGGTGCGCTGCACAGAGTTGTAGGACTGAGTCATTCTACAGGCTGCCGTGTAGGATGGTAGAGGCCACGCAGTGCACAGCATCGCTGAAGGCGGCAGTAGCCCACTCATGTGATTCCAAGGCTAAATCTAAATTCATTAAGAAAAAATCGAAATCGGATTCACTGAAGTCCCTCGGATGTCTTTTAGCCTGTGGAGCCCAGCGTTCTCACCCAAAGATGTGGGGATCCACGGAACCCACTGTCTTGCCCGAGGTAGAGGTGTTCATGGGGGAAGGACCAGTTCTCCGGGCGGGCTGTGGGTTGCACCAGCTAATCACAAGCTTCGCTCTGTGCGCTGTCTCACAGATCGGCCTGTTTGACCTGGAAGTGAACTGCCTAACAAAGATCCTCTTTGGAGCTTTGGTGGTGGTGTCTCTGGTCATGGTCGCCCTCCAGCACTTTGCCGGACGTTGGTACCTACAGATCATCCGCTTCCTCCTTTTGTTTTCCAACATCATTCCCATCAGGTAAGCAGAGAACAAGCTTGTGTTTAAGTGCTGCGACATTTGCTTCTCTCTCTTCATTCAAAGGTCATGGTTTTGCGGTTTTGAGAAGGAGCTGGGCCCTTTGTAGAGTGATGACCAAGGACAGGCAGGGTCAGGAGTGTAGGCAGCGCTCTGGCCGGAGCACTGGATGGGCACATTCCTCCCCGAACCATCCTTTCTGGAATTACTCTCTGCTCAAAAGATCTGGCCTTGCCCAGTCTCAGTGTACACTGGACATGCCATTTAGATTTCATCTTATTTACCAGCCCCAGGAGGTTGGTGGTGACTGGTGGGAGTGCTGTGTTGGGAAGGATTCTGAGCCTGAGTCAGGACTCACGGTGCTTGATTAGCAGTGGAAGCTTGGTGGCACGTGCCAGACAATTGTTCTCCTACCTCATTTGAAGGCTGAATAAATGTTTAAAAAAAAAAAAAATATATATATATATATATATATACACATATAAAATAAAGTAATAGATGGTCATAGTAGAAAAAAAAAATTCACAGTAGCCAAAGAATAAAATAAAAATCATCTCTAATCTCACAACTAAGTGATAATTGCTGTTAATGTTTTGGGATATATGTTTTCTAGACGGCTTTCTATTTCAGAAAAAGGAGAATTTGCTCTACATAAAAATCCACTCCCACCCTCCACTTTTTTTTTCTAACAAACGATGTGTTGCAGATAACTCCCGTACTGTTGGATGCTTGTTTCTACTTTTTCCCCATAATAAATGATCAGTCAGTAATCATAAAACAAGCCATATCTTTTTCCCTCAGACTTCTAGTGCTTATAATCTCTCTCTTACACTTGATCTATTGCCCTGTATTTTGTCTTGCTCTTTTGTGTATTTACATCATCCCAGCTAGACTTTGTCTTTTTCCGAAGACAGAGACTGTGGTTTTGGTACAACAACATGACTAGAAGAAGGAGATTGAACCCCAAGCTAGTGTGCTCTGGATGATGGTTTCAAAGAATAAATAAGTCTCATTTACTGCTAACAAAAGAGTGTTTGTGCTGTAACGTTGTGTATAATTGTGGTCTTTAAAGTTCTGTCTGCAACATGACTGAAAATTGGTGCATTGAATCTGCATATGGGCCAGGGCTAGCCAGTGAAATAGTTAGCAACTTAATGAGTTTATAGGATTATGAATGAATTTGAAGATTTCTTTTTATTGTTTGCAATGAAATATTTAAAAATGAGTATAACACAGGGACTTCTCTGGTGGTGCAGTGGTTAAGGATCAGCCTGCCAATGCAGGGGACACAGGTTCGAGCCCTAGTCTGGGAAGATTCCACATGCCATGGAGCAACTAAGCCCGTGCGCCGCAACTACTGAGCCTGCGCTCTAGAGCCCGCGTGCCACAACTACTGAAGCCCGCGTGCCTAGAGCCCGTGCTCTGCAACAAGAGAAGCCACCGCAATGAGAAGCGAGCACGCCACAGCTAAGAATAGCCCCCGCTCACCGCGACTACAGAAAGCCCGTGCGCAGCAACGAAGACCCAACACAGCCAAAAATAAATAAATAAATAAATTTTAAAAAATGAGTATAAGACATAAAAAGGAATATTATTCGGCCTTAAAAAGGAAGGGGAAAAAAAAAAGGAAGGGAATTCTGACACATGCTGCAACATGGATGAACCCTGAAAACGTTATGCTAAGTGAAATAAGCCAGACACAAAAGAGCAGATCATGTGTGATTCCACAGTACGAGACCCCTAGAGCAGTCAGATTCATAGAGACAGAGAGTAGAATGGTGCTTGCTGGGGGCTGGAGAAGGGGAAATGGGGAACTACTGTTTAATGGGTATAAAATTTCAGTGTAGGAAGATGAAAAAGTCCTGGAGCTGGATGGTGATTATGGTCCCATAACAATGTGAATGTCCTTGATATCATTGAACTGTACACTTAAGATGCTTTAAATGGTAAATTTTATGTTATGTATATTTTACCACAATGTAAAAAATGTGGTCCGTAACAGAATCGCTTCATGAATATTATATAGTGGTGCTGAGTCTGTGGATTCAGCCCCAGCAGTGTGCTGCTACAGGGGGTGATTCCAGATGTTATGGCACAGACGATGTGCATTTAGAGTCCTTGTTGAGATACAGGCAGTCTTATGTTTATCCCGTTAACCTGTGTGCTCTGGTTTTCTGACAGTCTGCGTGTGAACCTGGACATGGGCAAGATCGTGTACAGCTGGGTGATTCGCAGGGATTCGAAAATCCCCGGGACCGTGGTTCGCTCCAGCACGATTCCCGAGCAGCTGGGGAGGATTTCCTACCTACTCACAGATAAGACCGGTGAGTTTCCTGCGGCCCTCGCAGGATTCAAGGTCGAAGAAGGTGCTTGGAATCTCTCTCTGGAGGTGTTAGAGGTGCATATGCTGCTGCTCTTTTATTTTCTTCATCTTTTGATGATGACAGACTATTTGGTGGTGATGATGATGATGATGATAGCAGCAAAGCCTTACTTCATGCTAATTATGTACAAAAGCACCATTCTGGGTATTTATAGTCACTTACTTAATCCTCCCCCGGTCTTGTGAGTTCGGGGGTATTAAGTGACTTGGTGGTTAAGTGACTTGTCAGGAAGCACATAGTGGCAGAAGCAGGCTTTGAACTCAGACAGTCTGGCTTCAGGTCCTGACCTTGAAACCACACCTCAAAGTACTGCTCCACAGTTTAACATCTGTCAAGTTGCGAGGTTGTCGTAGTGGCTGAGAGCAAGTGCAGAGTGGGGAGACCTGGGTTTTAGCTTCCTGTCCACCATTCAGTGAGCATGGGATAAAAGGGAATCTATTGCAAAGATTCGGGAAATCAGAGCAAAACTAGGTTTCAGGAAGAAGAACCAGGAAAGTTCTGGCTGTGTCACAGCATCAGGACCCCTGGGCTGGTCTCCTGACTTGACTCGACTCATCCTCTGTCGATACGCCCGTCTGCTCAAGGTTTAGATTCCTTCAAGATAGAATCTGATTGGCCTCATGTATGTCATGTGCTGCCCTCTTGGCCAATGGAATGAGTCAGGCACCCTGATTGATGCTCCCTCTGGACCATCCCAGGGAATGAGGGTGATAATTCCCCCTGGAAACCTGGGGTTCTATTTTCAGAAGAAATTCTGGGATTCCAGGCTGACAAAATATCACAGGTGTCTCATCCAGCAGGAGCAGTGCTGAAACCAGTCTGTGACATATAGTAAACTCTCAAAAAAAAAAAAAAGGCCAAATAGCCATCATTAATGTTAATAATAATAAGGGCTCCAGGATGTAGGCAGTTACTGATCTGTCTTGTGTTTCAGGAACTCTTACCCAGAATGAGATGGTTTTCAAACGGCTCCATCTAGGCACCGTGGCCTATGGCCTCGACTCAATGGATGAAGTACAAAGCCACATTTTTAGTATTTACACCCAGGTAAAGCCTTCTGTTTCGATACCCAGACAATTTTTACATTTATTAACACCTATATTGAGAAGGATTCATAATACAATATGATTCACTCATTAAAAGTGTACCGTTTGGTGTTTTTTTGTATACTCAGAGTTGTGTAACCATCACCACAGTCAGTTTCATCGTCATCACCCCAAAAGGAAGCCCTGTACCCGTGGACAGTCACTCCTCACTTCCCCCAACCCCACCTTTCCTTCCAAACCCCTGGCAACCACGAATCCGTCACGTTTTCAATAGACCTGCATTTGAGGTTTTTTCCCCATCTTCCTCATCCCCAGGGTTAATCTACTGAAATACTAATGGATACTGTGGGGAAAACATAAGAAAAAATTATTTGCTAGTAACTGGTGCCAGAAAGAACTTTGAGAACCTAATGGTTGGTTTTCCTTCAAGTTTACAAACATGCTTCCTTTTTCCTTTTCCCCCGTTATGAGCCAAAACAGCATAATTAGTGGGCTGCTTGTGACATAATCACGGTATAACCGATCAGCTTTAGTTCCTCATCTCTTTTCAACTCAGCAGTCTCATGGAAGAAATGATCAGAGATGATGGTCAACTTATCTGCTCCAGATTCCCCCCCCCACAAGGTTTTTCAAAACCGGTCATTTTTTTTTTTAGAGGAAGGTATTACTTGTAGGTGTCCTAAGAGTCCTGAAAAATTAGACCAGCGGGTCCCCTACCTTGGCTGCTCGTCAGAATTACTGGTGATGTTTTAAAAACAGAGTAAAAACAAAACAAAAGACATTAACTTGGGTCTGGTACCCTAGAGATTCTGACTCATTAAGATGACAGGAGAGTCTGGGCTCCTGTGTTTTAAAAGAAAGATGACAAAACAAACAAATCCCTTGGTAATTCTGAGACACCCCCAGGGCTAAGATGGACTGCATCAGACCAGCTACATGTCATGACACTTGTTTGGGGGCAATAGAATAAAAAGGCCATGTTTTGCTTAAATTTGTCCAAATAGATAATGATTTCATAGTCAGAAGGCCAATTAAAAATGTATTTTTGTGTAAGAGTTAGAGGTGGACTCTCTAAATGCTTTGTGATACAGTTATAGTCAACATTTAATTTTCCGGAATCTTTGCTAGCCTGCACACCTGGATTTCTGGGGTATCTCCTGAAAATGGCAGGGCAGGGGATAGTGTGGAAGTGGGGGTGGATTTTAAGTGGAGAACAGCTTGTTTGATCCATGTCACGTCATCACCTATACTACCAGCCACGAAGCCCTTGTCATTCATTCTTCTAGGCTCCCTGTGTGAGCATCGTGGCTTGTCCCCAAATGGTCCACTGTCCTTCTTTAAGACTATTAAAAAAAAAATCCCAAGGACTTGGTTGGACTGAGAGGAAAAGCCACAGTCAGCCCCTGGCTCCTTTCTCTCTCTCTGACCCTTCTCCCTCTGTGAGGTGACGTGGTGTCTGTGCTGGGCTCTGTGTGTCACTCTCTAGGGGGTTCCGCTCTTATCCAGCTTCTGTCACCCTATTGAAGCTGATGGCTCCCATATCTGTGTCGGCCCGACCAGGAGCTTTAGCCTGGAACACACCTGCATACTTGGTATCACCGCTTGTGGGTCAGGAGGACGGTGCACCCACCATCCCGACATTTTTCCTGCATCCCGTACACTTGCTTCTCCAAGCTCTTCTTGTTTTAGTAAGCACCACTCCCAATTACCCTGTTAGCTCCGTCCAGGGATTTGGGAAGTGCCCCTGCTTCCTGCCCCGTCACCGCCTGCCTTCAGTCATGGCCTGCTCCCCCCAGATCACCTGTTTGGCCTTTTGTCTTCATCCCCTCTCGCTCACTAGGCAGGAACTACACTCTCCCTTGCCTGGCTGTCTGCAGTAAACGCCCCC